AACAAAGACACACCTTCTAATTATTTTAAAAAGTGAGATCCCTTGGTTGACGTGGGATCCCTCTCTGTATACTGTGAATATGTTTTATTACTATTGGTTAATAAAGAAGCTTCTTTGGCCCATGGTAGGGGAGAATATAGATAGGTGGGAAATTCAAACAGATACAAGGAGAAAGAAGGCGGAGTCGAGGGAGATGCCAGGAGCCACCAGAAAAGCAAGATGTGAGGTAACAAGCAATGAATCTCATGGTAAAATATAGTAGAAATAAGTTAATTTAAGTTGTAAGGGCTAGTTAATAATAAGCCTGAGCTAATAAGCCAAATAGTATGTAATATTAAGCATCTAATGGTTATTCTAAAAGTGACTGTGGGACCAGGCAAGACAAGAAACCTCCAGTAACACCTGGTATTCAAATCTATAGGGCCATTCTTACTCAAACCACCACACAAACCTTGGACAAAAAAGGTACTTGTCCTTTAGGCTCTGAGTTTTCTTGTTACTTCCTCTTTCTAGGAATACCAAAACCATGAACCTTGAGTCTCTCCTGCCAAAACATGAAGGTCCTGGGCTCAGTAGGAGCTTAAGGTGGGTCCTGCTAGCTTTGGAGGTGGACTGGGGGCAGAGAAGCAAGTGGGCTAATCATGGTGGGTATCTGTCATGGAAGTGCTAGGACCCTTGAAAGCAACAGCTGTCTCTCCAACACCCTTAGGGGGTTGCACTGAAAAGTATATCTCTTTGGAAGTCAAACTTTGTTTTTTATACCACACACACGCACACACGCACGCACGCACACACACACACACACACACGGAGGGGGGAGGTTGTGCTTGAGTAAAGAATTAGGAAAATGCTTAATGACGCAAACGCTTGAAGTCAGAGGTCATCAGGGCACTCTCAGGTTATAAGCCTGGGCAGGTGATTCAGGCTTTATTGAGGGAGGAACTGAGGTCTGATGGACAAACTGGCATTCTAACCACAGTCCAGTTGTTAGTCCATAGAAACATCCTGCTACTATTATGAAGATAAAGTGCTGCTTTTCCCCACCCCCTTTTTTTCCTCTTTTACAAAGATTTTTTTTTTTTAAGTCTCCTTTCCCATTCAAGTTAGTGAGGCAGGAAGGTCTCAGGGCAGCCATGCCTGCAGCATTAGCTAATCAGAGTCTCAAGAAACATTCCATTCCGCTTAGGAGGGCCTTGGAGAATGGTTTGCTCATGGTGGCTTTTAAAGTACACAGAGGGTTGCCAGTCTGGATGGACTCCCTATGGGGCTGGTGAGCTGGTTTGAGGCTGGTGCCCAGCAGGCCTGCCTCCTGCTGGGAGGTAGACTTGCAGTAAAGACTTCTCTTCCTCTGCCCAGTTCTTGGTGTGTGTGTGTGTGTGTGTGTGTGTGTGTGTGTGTATGTGTGTGTGTGTGAAGTGGAGAGTCATGGATTCTGTCTCTTATTCTAAAATTGGTGGGAAAGCGAGGTTTGAGAATGTAATAAACAGTTACAGACAATGCATGAGCACTTGACGTCAACTCTTAGCTGCAAATATCAAGAGGTAAAGTACTATGGCAGAGTGCCAAGAAATGGTTTTAGTTCCTGGTTTTATCATATGCAGCTGCGTGGTAACCGAACTTCTATCTAGTTATCTATTATCAATCTATATATCTCTTTGTATATAATTATCAGAGACATGACATAGGTAACTTAATAGAATTGTCTAAGCATGTTTGACAGCAAGAATTGCCCAAATAGCTGGCTGAGAATATGGACTCCTGGTATCATCCTTTACAGTTTAAGGAAAGACCCAGGCACACCCACCCTGGGGCCCCACCATGACTCCTATCAGGCAACTTGGGGATGTAGCCCTCTTTTTTTTTTTTTTTTTGGCATTTTTGTGTGCCTGTCCCTATATTCAATAGAAGTTTAACTTTTGTGTGGAGAATTGATAAAAAAAAGGTCAAATATTATTATATTGTATATTCTTGAGGCAAATGTATATTGAGCTTTGTATAGTAGATTTATTCCTGAAAAGCTATTTTACAAATATAATCTTTGTGTGTGTGTGGTAAAGGTATATAATTCGTGTCTTATTTCGCTATTCAAAGGCACATACCTATTTTAAGTAAGTAAATATAACTGGAATGACTGCTATATGCAATGAATATAGTGATGGATAAGACACAGGTTCTGTCTTTGAGTGGCTTACTTAGACTCCGTGAGGAAGGCAATCAAATAAACGAGGGGATCTAGCTCAGTCTGTAGGGTGCTTGCCTAGCATGCATGAAGCTGTGGGCTCAATCCTCAGCACTGCATAGATGGTGTGTGGTGGTGCATGTCTATAATCCTAGCTAGCACTCAAGAGGTAGAGGGAGGAAAATCAGAAGTTCAAGGCCATCCTCAGGTATATATGGAGTTTAGGGACAGTTTGGGCTATAGGAGACCTTTTTACAAAACTAAACAACTCCACAAGCACAAAACTTTAGTTAAATAGAGTTAAGCATAGAAAGCTATGGTTCACTGAAGAAAAGTACAGACCACATAAACTGGAATATTCCAGCTGCTTAATAGACCAGTCATGTGAAATCCTTTTGTGGAGGGAATGATTTTGTTTCCTAGTTTGTCTTTGCAGAGAATCCATGTTCCCACCAGGTAACTACACATTTGCACAAAGATTCAGCACCTGCTGAGGGCAGAGCACTGAACAAGATGGTGTGGAGTAGATAGAGGAGATGAGATCCTGCCTACACAGAATTTACAACTATCACTGTTCAGGGTTCATTTCTCAGAGCATCAGTTCATTGCGATTCATTTATTATGCATAGATTAACTTCTCTGAAAAGGTTGTTCACTCTCAAGAGGTGACTACCTGTAAAGTGGGGGCATACATTTTACCCAGGAGGAAATCACAGTGCATGCGGGAGTTCACTCAGCTCTTTGAAGATTCAAGATGTGACTCAGTGGCAACTGAGATGGGTGTACAGAGACTGGGAGGATCAGGGACAGCACACAGACCTAGTATCACTAGAATTTCCTTTGCTCTGTGCACCATGGACATGAAGGCTTTTCTGTTTGTTTTTGAGACAGGCTCTCTCTATAATGTCGCCCTGGCTGTCCCAAAACTCATTGTGTAGACCAGGCCGACCTCAAATTTAGTTCCACCTGCCTCTGTCTCCTGAGTGTTGGAATTAAAAGTGTGAGTCCATCTGACACTAGTGCCTTTATTTATTTATGTATTTTGGTTTTTTGAGACAGGGTTTCTCTGTAACTTTCGAGTCTGTCCTGGAACTAGCTCTCAACTGGCCTCAAACTCACAGAGATCTGTCTGCCTCTGCCTCCCGAGTGCTGGGATTAAAGATGTGGGCCACCATTGCCAGGCTTAGCACCAGTGCTTTTAAAAGACACTTGTTTCTGCCTCAAGAAGGGTGAGACAGGGAGGAACATAATTCCTCCTGAGAGTGATAATCAGGTAAAATTTAATCAGATGCAACGCACAAAAGGACAGGTGCCGTCCACTTTCCTCTTTCACCTGTCTCTCTGTGTGGAGCTGTTTCCACTTTGCAGTTGGGACCCAAGGAATGCCGGGAGATAGACTGGACACCTGGTGGTCTACACTCCAGTTCTCCGACTAGACTCATTTTATTATCTCTGTCACTCAAGTTTCTCCAAATAGAATGCTCAGCCTCCTATTGCTGTTTCTTAGAAGGCCATGGTTGAAGCATCTGCACTCGCTCCCCCACCAAGTTGCTCCCACTTCCTGCCACACTGCTCCCCTCTATCTGCCTGGTGAAACCCAACACCCTTCAAAGCCCAGCTCAAGTGTCACCTCTTGTCTTGGTTGGAATCAACTGTTCGCATGCCTTGGTTTGCTATTGCCTCATTACTTCTTGGTGCAGTCGATTGGGCTCTTCAGTTTCCTCTTGTGAACCTGGGCACAGTAGCAATATTCGTGGTACTCTGTAACTCCTTTCAGATCAGGTTTTGTGATGACAGCTGCTAGATGGGTTCATTTTGTATCCCACCCTCTTTGGGACTTTACCCATGATCTCATTAAATCGCTAGCCAAGTCTCTGTAGACAGGTACCAGAAGTATCTTCATTGTATACAGGAGCAAAGGGTGGTCCAGAGAGGTGAAGCATCTCTCTCCAGGTCACACAACTAAGATTACAAAGCTAGTAGATATAGCACAGCTGGGCTTGCCATATGCCACAGCTGGGGCTTTAATCACTGTACCAGCTTCTGTGTCGGCCCAGTGTCTGGGGAGAGAACAGAATGCATGGTGTGCTTCCAATAGTTTCAGGGTTCACCCAGTACTTCTCCCAAAACCCAGCCACGGGCCAGGCTTCACCGGATTGCAGTCTAAAAGCAAGCATGGCTGTCACCTGGGCAAGAGGCACACTTAACCTGGGCCAAGGAGCGAGTCCTAGCCTGGGAAGTCCGTAGTTACCCATAAGCTTTGGCTAGTGGCTCTGGAACTGTGGAGCAGCGTCCCGGGTCCCGAGTCCCAGGAATGTGGGAGGGCTAGGCGGGCAGGGAGGGGGCGCTTCCTCTGGCCGCTGGAGGGGCCGCTGTACCGGGCCCGCCACCGCCCACTCCCCGCCCGCCCCCAGC